TCTAGGAGTGCTAATCACATAAGCAACCTTCAACGATGTAAGAAGAAAATACATCTTCTTCTTCCATCGTCGAAATTCCACACCATCAAACTTCTTGAGTTTGACAAAGTTTGTGGTAAGTTCTTTCACACTAGACATGTTGTTCAAACAATAATCACTTTAGATTGTTAGGTTTTCAGTAATTCAACAATACAAGAATTACTTAAAATTGTGGAACAAAACCTAATTAGAGTATAATTCAATCAAATTATACAATAATAAATAATAGTTAAAGTATTACAATCCAAGCACCAAAAGTCAAAGTAATCAGAAAATTACAAAGAAAAATCTAATGTAAAAGATACTAAAACTTGCCTCTACTCCAAGCCAATGAAATTACCAAGAACATGAGAATACAATGGACCACGTGAGTCTTCAATACCGAATACTTGTCTAAGGTGTGTAAACACTTTCCTAAAGTGATTATTTCCCCCACACGGTGCTTGGTTTAAGTCGGAAAGTCACTTTGAGATACAATAGACAACACTACAATCTTGCACTAAGAATTAGAGTAATATGATCAAATTCTTAAAAATTAACTTCATTGGTAGAGATTTCTATAAGAGATTGCAAGTTTCTTAGAGAAAAGTGTGAAGAAAAGTGAAAAACTTGAAGAGGAAATCAGAGAGCCAAAAAACCAGAACTACCGTCCTTATTTTAATTTCGCAATTAAAAGAATAAACGAAATTGCAACTGCCAGGTGGCGCGGGCGCTCCTCTTTTAGGAGCGGGGCGCTCCTCACGAAAACTGCAAATTTCTGAAGGAAAATAGTGAGGGGCGCGGTTTATGCGCGACTAGCAACGCGGGCGCGCCAACCGGAACGCGCGGGCGAGCCACCTGCCGCGCGGGCGCGCCATCTCACTCTTCCAATTTGCCTATTTCCAGAGAGGTGTGCGGTTTAGGCGCGCTCTCTACGCGGCCGCGTCTAACTTGCGCGGGCGCTCTTTCATGGTCGCGATCACGCAAACCATCAACACTCTAAATATCTAACACCTTTATCTCCATGAGGATGGAGGAGCAGTCTTTTTTGAACTCGTACTTGGGGACGTATGGTTCAAACTTCCTTTGCTTCTTCTGGCACTGCTGACCTGGGCGGTCAGCTGCCCAGACCTCTTTTCTTTTCTTTTCTTCTTTTTTTGGCCGGCTGGGTAGGACGGCTGTCTCTCCTGTCCAACTGTTTAGGTTCCGACCGATGCTTGATGGCGCAGAGCTCAGTTGCCTGTATGTAAGCCTCCACCTCCATCAGCGCCTCTTGGAGGGTAGCTACCCTCTTGCGGACAAGGTCAAATTTGAAAGTTGACCCGTCCTTCAGACCCTTGAAGAAGTCTGTATATGCAACTTCATCAGACAACCCCTGAATCTGAATTCTCATCAGGTTAAACCATCTGGCATAGGACCGAAGCCTCTCCTTGTCACCCTGCTGTATAGCCCCTAGGTCGAGACTTGTCTTTTTGGCAGGGATGTTCATGGAGAAGTTGGACGCAAACAGGTATGCAAGCATTTTGAAATTATTGATGCACCCAGCCAGCAGGTTGCCAAACCATCGTTGGGCAATGCCCTTCAACGTAGCTGGGAAGCATCTGCACCAGGCGGCGTCATCCAACCCCTGTAGGTACATAAGGTTGGTATATGCCATTAGGTGGTCTTCCGGGTTGGTGGTACCGTCGTACGCGCCAACCAACACATTTTTAAGTTTTAACCTTGGCCAGTTGTGCCGCCTCGGTTATCTCTCAGGAGAAAGGCGAAGGCTGTTCCCTAAGGTTTAGCAGCCGGAGCTGCCAGTCCATAGGCTGGACCTGGTATGCCGTCTGACCCCCGAAGGGAGCCGACTGCATGAATGGAGATCCATACGGGGCGTATGGCTGTTGGGGCACATACGGAGCCTGCTAGATCATGTGAGGACCAGTACGTGCGGACACGCCGAGTGAGTGACTCCCTTGCTGCGTCTCCGAGTGCTTCACTGAAGCATTTCAGAAACTGTCCGGGTAGGTCGACGTTGAAGCCGACTGAGACATACTCTGACTTCTCTTTTCCTGGATGAACAACCAGGCGTCAGATAAAGTCTTTTTTGACCCATCCGGCTGTGTATGCTGGATGGCCTTCCGTTGCCCTGATTCAGGGAAACGAAGTTTTGAGAGGGGTCCATCCGTCCCCTTGGGCTTGGGGTGCAGAGTAGGCACCCGGTCTTTGATTTGCTTCTTCTCGGAGGGAGAAGGCTTTTTTGCCGAATGACCCTTGCTGAAGCCAGCTGACTTCTTGATTCTGTCCTTGATTTCCCCCTTGAAATTAGTCATGAGGTTCATGAGTTTGTCTCTAGTGACGGGAGCAGCACCTTCCGTCTCTTGGGGTTGTCTAGGATGCTTGCCGCCTGGGTTGTTGGGGCAAGCTTTGTCTTGACCCCGTTCCTTCTTTTCTTTGGAACGGGTGCGTCTAGAGCGGAATGACCCGTCTGGGGCCATATAGGTTTCGACATTGTAGTCGTCACCGCTTCCACTTTCATGGTCCGTATGAACCTCAGGGTTAGCCGTAGGCCGGCTGCCCTCTGCATTCGGTACAACATCGGATGCCATCTCAGTAGTACACTCCCCATAGACGGCGCCAAATGTTTCGGGTTTTTTTGGTCCCTCGGGAGAGTTACAATACGGAGTATGCGCGCCTGACTTCTGTACCTGCAAAACCACGAAACTCCGGTTGGGTGGAGTTCCGCCTCCGAAGATCAAGTTAGTATGATTCCGGATGAGAAAGCGTGCGGAAAGTAGAGTGGATGTTTCTCTCTGATTCAAGGAGATTCCGCAATTAAGATTGCTCGGGTTTTGTGTATGTATTTATGAATGGATCATAAATGAGGATTTTTCCCTTATTTATAGTGGGGGAGGCATGTCCCTTGATTAGGGTTTTGATGCCACGTGTCAGCATACAATTGGATCCCGTTGGGCCTTTGGTGGGCTGCCACGTGTCATCATACTACTGGGCCACGTGGCATAGGGTATTTTTACCCTAAACACCTAGGATCTTGCTAATCATATTTTGATGATATTATGATGATGATTGTTGTGCCAATTAATCATATGTTGCTTGATTATTGCTGATTTATTGTTATTGCTTGATCACACCTTTTCTGCAGGTTTAAAAGGAATTTGTACTTGAAATCACGCCTAATAAGATAATTAATAATTTGATTTAGGCCTAATATGATTTTAATTCAATTAATAGCCAATAATAGATTTATTTGTGCATTAATAATCAACCAAAACAGATTAAATATGCTTAGGATTAATTTGATGGATGTATGTTGATCGAAAAGCGCACATGAATATCATAAGAATTGAGTAGAGACCGATTTAGGGTGGGTTCAATCTCTTTTAGGTTGGATTCATACCATCATCCCTGAATATCCAGTCATGGTTCCAGGCCACTATAGAGTTAGCGACCTCCGTAATTGTGAATGGGGTGTAACCTTCACACCCGTGAACGGTTTACAAGTTCCTAAAACTTGTTGGCGACTCTTTTATCTCTACCTTATTTCCCTTTGGACGCCACCATGCCTAAAAGTATGACCACAGTGAGGCTCAAAGTCGAGTTTGAAATATTCCTTACAAGTATTTAGTTATTAATTGTTAAAGGTTACCAAAAAAAGAAATGGAGCTAGTAATAAAATACAACCGCAAAAGGAAAGTTGAACAAATAATAAAATACGGAGGGACTATAGTTAATTATTACATCTTACTTCAATGATATTTTATATTTTAAATATATTTTATAAAAATGATTTAATGGTCTGCGGTTTGGCAGTTTACGGTCTAAAATCGCAAATTGGTTTGGTCCATTTTGTATTTTTTATTTTTTTATTTTCATTTTTTTGGAATTACGCCTAAATTGTAAATAGCGATTTAGTCTTAATTATTTGAAAACCGCACCGCAATTTTCAACCTACAAGTTGCAGTTTGGTGCAGTCAAAACTGCATTTTAAATATCCTTAGGACTTATTATCTTCTACTTGTTTAAGATACTTATTACTTATTCCTTAATAAATTCGATAAAATCAGACCAAACAAGAAACATTCCGATCAGAACATTTATTATCATTTACTTTTTTTAATTTTAATTGTTTAAATTTTATTCAATATACAATTAACGATATTTAGCATTAAGTAATATCATTTACTTAATGCTAAATATCATTATTTGCGTATTGAATAAAATTATAAGATTACATATTTCTAATGTTCATAAGGGAACGAATCTAATAAGATCCATTTTGATAATATTTCTCTTTATATATTATAGTATTAAAATGCAGTTAAAATTTTAGTCAAAATATTAAATCAGATCAGGTCAGCACAGATAATAAAAATTCAGATCAGACTAGATCAGACCTTATTAAAATCACACCAAATCTCCTTATTTCAGGTGAAGAAAATAAGTTCTTATTGGAAAGTGAGAAAAATAAAAAATGTAAATGTAAAGAATAAAAATTAATGAGTAGTCCTCATTTCAGTTTATAGCGATTAAGAACCAATTTCAAAAACTAAAGCAAACAAGGCCGTTATGGACATCACATTTATTTTGCAATCATCGTAGAAGTCTTTGTCATTGTGTACTAAAATAACTTTTTACTACACTAACTCCCAAAATTTCATGAAATAAATTCCTTATTGGGAACAAAAAACCATCATAATAATCCCCAAAATAATTTTGATCCCATGCTTTCCGGCATTATCCTAGCTGACTATAAGTAAGACAATCCTTCAAAGGGAAGCAACAATTTTAAATAAAACCAGTGTAACTAATTACTACTACAACTTTACTTTGGCCCCCATTTTATCTAGACAAAAGCAGTATGATATTGACACTTTATTAGATGCCGTAACATATAATCATCTTGCATTATTGATTTATTGTTCTATATTTGAAAAGCTAGAAAAAAGAAAAAAAAACAGAGAGAAGAAGAAAGAAAGAATTCACAATTTCATATTATTATCAATAATCAACAAAAAGAAAGAAATGGTACCAATTACAACCTTGGTTAATTTCTTTACGACCACCGTATTATTCATCATAAATCCTTCTGCATTCCAAACACATGATTATTATCAAACTAACCCTTCGGTTTCGGTTTTTGGTGTTGCCTTTATTTATCCAGGTGATCCATTGTTCTTACCTTAGCTTCGCGATTTTGCAAATAGTTTGCACGTTGATCGGTTGATCCTATGTAGAATTGGAATCAGAAACAAATTTTATGCAACTCTTGTATTTTAAGAAGAAGAAGAACAAGGTGGTTGATGGCTTGAGCTGCAATTCGCTCGTCGACTTCCCTTATTTATTTTGGTATAGTGTTTTATACTGTATTAGCTTAAAGTTTAGGATGTTTTAATTTTGTGACTAGTGTATCGAAAGTAATATGAATATTATATTGCTGATTTATGCATGAAATTGCTTTTGCTTATTGTTATAGTACACTGATTTCTTTGCTTAAGTATCATTGTTGTTAATGACTATTGATTTCCGTAACTTTTTAGAGTTGATGTCAATTAAATTATTTTGTGATCATATATTGAACCTATCTTGTTTGATACTTCGTATATACTCCCTCTGAAGTATTGCACTTTATACTATAAAATAAGGGGATTTCAACTTTTGAAGGCTTCAAGAATGAAATAATCAATAAGATTGAAAAGTTAATCTTATAAACAATGGGACAAATTCGGTGTGCCGTGATGCAAATCATTGACTTGAAAATGAAATTCCAACTGTGGTGCTCAATTGTTTTCGCCGACATGTTCACTAAAGTTTACACACCACTCACACACACAAGGGCACTTTTGAGTGAGTGGTGGAGTCACGTAAACTTATGTCCAAAGAAGAAAAATGTGTTTAGTTAATTTTTAGGGAAATTCTACATGGTGACCTCTAGGTGTCAAATTTTCTACGTGGAAGACAAACTTTTTTCCAACTCTCTCAAGTGACACTCTGGTTTTGCAAAATTAAGTGTAGTGTCTTTTTTTTTGGTTTTATGGCTAACTTTTATAATTAAAATGGTTAACCTAAGGTTTATTAATTTAAAAATTAACTAAATTATATTTTAAGATAATAAAATTAAAAAAAAGAAAAAATGAAAATTTAAATTAAAAAACAAAAAAAAAGGAAAAAAAAACCAAAGACCACCAGCCACGTACCCAACGCTGGTGGCCGACCTTCCCCAACCAGCAAGCCCCACCCATAAACCATCCTCTTTGATCCCCCAACCCCACTTTTCTGACCTACCGGAAACCCTCCCCACACCGGAAACCCACCCGTCACTCCCTTTATTTGCGTTTTTCGGCAATTAGAGGAGAAAGAAAGGGAAGGGGCTGCATTTTTGGTGGTTTTGGGGGTGGGGGAGGTGATTTCGAGGGTTGGGGTTGGTGTTATAGGTGGAATCGGGGGTTGGGGGAGAGGATGAAAACAATTTCAGGGACGTGGGTTTCAGGGACGGTACGATTATAGGTGGTTTTGGGTTTTATGGGTGGCGGTTTCGAGGCTGAGGTTGTGGCTATGGCTAGTTTAGGGGGTGGGGGGAGGGAGAGGGGGCCAGTTTTGCAGGGGTGAGGCAGTTTCGGGGAGGGTTTGAGGCTGGGGTTAGAGACAGGGTGGTTTGGTTGGTTGTGGAGGGAATTAGCCACCGCCAATGGTTGTGGTCTGGTTTTGATTTTTCTTTTTTTATTGATTTTTTCTCTAATTTTTTTTGGACCACTTACGACTTGACACGTGTCAAGTGACCTAGAATATTAGGATTTTTTCTTTGTTTTTTTAATTTATTATTTTAAAATATAATTTAATTAATTTTTAAACAAAAAAACCTTAGGTTAACCATTTTAATTATAAAAGTTAGCCATAAAACCAAAAAAAGGACACTACACTTAATTTTGCAAAACCAGAGTGCCACTTGAGAGAGTTGGAAAAAAGTTTGTCTTCCACGTAGAAAAATTGAAATCTGGAGGCCACCATGCAAAATTTCCCTAATTTTTATAAGGTTATACTAAATTGATTTCTCACTATGCATGTTATTTATAGAATTGCCATGCTATATGAAGAGTTGAAGAAGATGAAAGCCAAAGAGTTTAATTAGAATTATGAGGCTTAATAAACCCATTAAACACTCAATTAAAATGGGATCAGAGTTAAGGAGATAATGTTACAAGAGAATCCAAGAGAAAGAAAAGAAAGTCAATAGAATTAATATAGACATGGAAAAAGTCTACTCCACAACCCATCTGTGTGCAAACCTGGTAGGCTACTTGTAGAGTAAACTTATCAAACTCTAGAAAATCCACAAGCCAACCAAGAAGCATGGGTTTTATACTCTTGTAATGTACAAACATGCCAATAACAAATTGTTTTAGTAATGGATAAGGATTATAATAGGACATGGAGATGATCCAACACATGCATACAAATTCATGAAATGTGAAATCAATATGCTAAAGAGAAAAATCAAAGAATAAAAGTCCAACACTTTAAGTCTAACACTAATTCATATTGCACTTTCCCCCACTTTGCATGGCAAAGGTCTCCTATTAAGTACCGAAATTGGACATGGAAAACGTCTCCACAATTCACATGGGGCATATAACGACCAAAATCATAAAAGGAAATTCTATGCACTCATAAAATCATAACCCCCACATGATCTGACAACATTATGTTTAAATTCAAAACATAGTAATAAAACTTACAGAAAAGGAAAATGAAAACATACCTCCATGGTGCATCTAAGAAGTTACCTTAGTGATCGACTAATAACAACCCGGCCAATTAATGATCGCACTTTGATTGTATGGGTATTCACTAAGTATTTTGAGCTCTAGCTTGAAGTATATTTGGACCATTGTTCTTCCCATGATTCGTGTTCGTATCATGTAGAAAATTACTTTTTATTTTATTTTATTTTTTTTTAAATTTTTTTTTAGGATTTAGAAACTAGAAAGTTACTAAATAAACACAACATCAAAGCACTTAATTTTTTTAAGAACTATTTTCCCAAGTTTAAAGAAGTTGTCTTGGTTCCTTCATACAAATGCCAAAAATATCCCAAAAAGAATCAAGTAAGAGCACTTTGGTGTCAAACCATGAAATAATAAACCCTTTCATATTTTAATAAATGTTACACTTTGACCGAATAACACGCATAACGAGACACAACTTTGACTATTAATATCTAATTATATATGTTAGTAAAATTATAGAAAAATTGAAATTATGAAAGTATACATTATAACAAATTTAACAATGTATTATACAATACTTCGTAACATTGGTTTTTTGTACATTAGTAAATTAATCAAGTCAAAACTATTATGTGAATAGAAAAAGAAAAAAAAGTCAAAGTATAACACTTATTAAAACGCGAAGGGAGTATTTAAAGACACTTGAATACTCTATCTTAAGGTGTGCACTAAAGATTAATTTAACAATTATAGCGTGGGTGCAACCAACACCCCAAAATTTGACTAGTTGATAGAGCACCACCAACTATTATTGATTGGGGTCTAACGCATGCCATCAAATACCCTTTAATTACTAGAAATGTCTTAGTTTGAGTGCCTAAAATACCCATCAATGGCACGTGTTGCACCATAATTAATAGTTAGTGGTGTTTTAACTTTGACTGCACGCAAGCTATAATTCATGAGCCTATTTTGTCTGAAAGAAAAAATAATAATTCAAAATATTACACCACAAGGTTAATACAACTTCTTAGTTAACTTTAGACACCTGATTGTGTCTCCCCAAAAACCAAACCCAGTGATGAGTACCTTTCACGTCTTTGACTATGATAAAGGTGAAGAGTTGAAGAGTCTCGTGAATTTCCCTTTAGCCTTAACCATTTCTAGCCTTTCCTTAAATGTTTTAAACAAAAATCATTCATTTCGTGTCGTTAAACCCAAAATCATTTATTTCGTGTCTTTGAAAATCATTCATTTCGTGTCCTCTTTATAAAATCGACAAACCAGATTACTTTGGTCCATGATTTTGGTCTAATTATTGTTTAGTTGGATGAGGCTTGAAAATATCTTTCAAAAGATATATTATAAGCTCAAATCCGATTTAATTACGAATAAGTTATGGCCAAAATAGTAAACCAAACCCAAATCGGACCTAGGTCCACCTTGCCTACGACCCAATGATCATGTGAGGGTCCAAACACCTTAATCCCAATCGTAAACCAATTAGGATTCATTCGAAACTTCTAGAGGTCTCTAGAAGGTTTTAATCTATCCTTTTTGAAATATAAAGATCAAAGAGTTTGAAGTGAATAAAACTCCACTTTTTAATAATCCTTAATATATTCAAATTCAAAGACGTTCAGATATGATTTTTGTGCCTCATAGGTTTTATCCAAATGTTAGATAGTATGATAGCTGTTGAAATTATCTTTCCAATGATATATCATAATCCCAATTCCGAACTATAACGAAAAAGATATGAATGAAATACCAAACTCTATTCAAAACTGACATTTTTCCACTATTTCAATCATATCGTTTTTTCTACAAAAGATATTAATCTGATTCCAATTGGGTTGGAAAGTAGACTTCTAGAGCTTTTCAAATATGTATTTTTTATCTTATTTTTCTGGATCAAAAGTTATGACAAAAAAAAAAACAGCAAAAACTGCTATTCAACGCCCCGCGACAAGCTTGTCGCGTCACAACGGAACCAACGCGCTGCGATAAACTGTCGCGCCGCGATGAAACTAGTTTTACTCCGATTTGAATTCTGACCCTTTTCTGGTCTTTCGCCCCTCTTTTTTCTTATGAATAGAGGTTGTTTCACCCCGTTTTCAATCATTAACAAGCTTGATCACCAACAACCATCATCTAATCCCTCTTTCTAAGCTTTAAGCTTCTTCTCTCTCTTTCTTAGCCTTAGCCTAGCCTAGCCTAAACACATTCCCACACACAACCTTTAATCTTTCCCAAACAAACACTATTCGTCCTTCACAAGCCTTGAATTATCCAAGCCTTCTCGATGTTGCCTTCGACGTCGACGTGAAATGTTGATTGTTCTGAGGGTTTGGTCCCATATCTATATTTCAATTTATATTTGATTTATTTGTTTGATTTAATCTTTCTTGAAGTTTACTAACAAGTGTATTGTTTTCATAGAAAGAGATACAAGGCATCAAAGTAAGTAATTCGATTACTTAACTATTCTTTTAATATAGAAATCATGCTTAAAATATTATGTTAATTCCTAGTGTCATGTTAGGATGTCTTTATGATTTCTAGTATCATGTTAGGATGTCTTAATGTTTCTAGTATCATGTTTAGGGTGTTAACTAATATTTCTAATATCATGTTTGTAGTATCATGTTCAGGCTAAAGCTTTGATTTTTATTATTAGTGACATGCTAGTATTTGTTATTAATCCATTTAATATCATGCCTAGAATCTTGCTAATGATGTTTTTATGAT